ACACCAACCCGCTCTCCTTGACTCAGCTGCCGCCCTGCCTGTGCTCAGTGGTACCAGATAAGGAGGGAGAGCAAACACAAGGTAGGCGCCTGTGAGTGCCTGCGTGTGCCGCTGCAAAAGGAACAGGAAGACATTCACTGCAGGGGAGTCACGGCCAAGATAGACTGGGGAACAGGAAGGATTAAAATGTCTCACAGGACCTGGCTCAGCTCCCAGAGCCCTCTCTGGACACTGGCACAAGGGCAGCTCCTCCCGGTGCCCAAGGCCTCTGCAGAGGCTCGCAAGTTCTCAGCCCTCTTTTCGCAGGAGGGCTTGTGTGGCAGGCTGGGTACCACACCCAGCAGAGCACGAGTTCCCATTTATTGTATTTCTGTGTTATTCTGTATGTCTAGCAGTGCTAGGCCATGGTAGGGACCAACACACAGGTAATACAGCACGGCCGTGGAACAGGATCACATGAAGACGCTAGGAGCATGTCAGAGACTCGGCTACTTCAGCTGATGTGCAGATGCCAGGCTGTGTAATATTCACATGATCAGCCCTTTTGCAGTGTAGGCAAGTATAGGGGGAAAAGCAAGGAGAGCCAGCTGAGCAGTGGAGAAGGTCAAGGACTCAGAGGGTTGGCTTGGCCTTTCTGCTTGTACGAGGTCCTGGTGCTAATCCCCCACTAAATTTTAGATAACTTTAAAAAAATCAAGTTGAAACAGGACTTAGAAGCAGTCCTAGCTGCGTTCGCAGCTGGCCATGCAGAACTGAAACCTCAGGGACTGAAACTGCAGGAAAGCAGCGTTAACTCCTCCCAGCATGCTTCCCAAACTGCTCCTGGGAGCCTGGTTCAAGCTGTGCCGGGCACAATCTCATCTGGGAGCACCTGGGCCCATCAGAGCCAGCTCCCTGCCACGACACCTGCCCTGTGCAGCACAGAGGGCTGGCACAGAGAGCTGCTAGCAGGTCCTCTCCTCCCCTGCCCACCCACGTCAGAGGCATGAAAGGCAGCTGGCCACACAGCCACCTGGGTGACACCACCTCAGCCTGTTCCTAAAAGCCTCCAAGCGTGGGGTCTCCGACCCAGAAGTCCCACACAGCAGCACCAGCTGTTGCTGTTTGCTGAGTTACCATAAAATAAGCAGCACTGTGGCCACCCCAGGCCACTCCTGAACGCTCCCTATAGACCCAGCATCTGTGTCATCGTGGGGGAAGATCATGCATCTTGCAGCCTTCCCTAATCAAAGCATATATTTATGCTCCTTATTACAATTCTGCTCTCTCATGTACTCTCAAGCATTCCTGGCTGCATCTCTCTGTGCCCCCAGCCCTTTAAATGACATGTGCAATGCGTGAAAGTTATTTCAGCAAAATGGTTGTGACAGGAGCATCGGCCTCTCCCTGTTCTTAGGTTTCAAACAAGGTTGCTTCAGCCCTACTGAGTTTTGCTTTATGCCTCTTCCACCTCCACCCCAGTACTGGTTTCCAACAACCCATAGGGGTTACCAGCAATGGGCTTCTGACCCCACATGTACTTTCCTCAGTCAGATACACACTGAGGATCCAGATGGGTGAAAGTCACCTGCACACAGATTGAGTGGGTGCTAATGAACTCACTTTCCAATTTGCTCAGGTACTGCAGGACACTGCTGCCCAGCCTGTGTGTAGGTGTAGAGTCTGTACACCCTCCTGCTGTGGAACGGGAGCTGTAAGCCCACCCGCTTTTTCAAGCATTAAACAAGCCCAGCTTTTGGATTCGGAAGAGAGATAAAATTCACCCCAGGGCCACGGGCCAGCACAGCACATCGGTACCGCTGGGATGCTGCAGGGCACAGAGGTGACCGTCACCCCTCGCTCTCTCCGCTAGCAGATCGGATCCCGTTATGCAACCGTTACGCTAAAAGGCAACATGACATCCAGAGCGGTTTCAAGGACTTTGTTAATTTTCTTTCAGGTCTGCAGATCCCCAGGATCCACATCCAGAGAGCTCCCGGCAATAACTGTGCACCTGGCTGCCTTCCCCAGAACTATTGCTTCCTGCACAGGCAGGGTGAGTGCTGATTCTGCTGGGGATGGGGATTTTAGGATTCCCACCCCAAACGCACGCTGCTGGGCTCGGTCCCAGTGCACCAGCTCTGCTTACAGCTTCCTATTAACTAGATGTGGCTTAGGGGGACCAGGTCTCCAAACTTCTTGCTGTCATTCGTTGATGATTCGTGCTCCAGCCCTGAGGGAACTCTGGTCCCCTTCTCCAGAGAGGGACCACAGCTGCTCTCCAGTCCCTCCAGCCCATCCTGGAGGCACAGGTACCCCTGGCTCTTGCCAGTGCAGCGTCAGTGACACTCACTGGTATCCCGGGGGGACACGTTTGCTGTTTGTGCACCAGCCAGCCAGGCTGTCACCCAGTCTCACTGTCCAAGAACCAAGCCCTGCTGTGCCAGGCTGTTAGGGCATTGTATAATACTGCTGCTGCCCGAGAGCCATCCCACAGCAGCCAGCCAGATGCCGAGGCAGGCTCTGACCCCGCTGCCGCTCGCAGAGCCCACCCTGACCAGCTGTCCCCGGCGCGTCTCTTACCTCTCTCTGGAGCCCACTCCCGATGCAGCTCTCTTCCCTCCGCAGTCTCCCTCCTGGCTCTCCCTTTCCCACTCCCCTTCCCTCTGCGCCACCTCCCCGGCATGATGTCAGCGCAGCCCTGCCTCCGCAGCCTCCCCATCACACCCCTCCACGGCCACGCAGCCGCCCATCACACCCCACTGCTGCTTCCCTTTCCAACAGTTGCCACAGCGACAGGAGGGGGAATCCCATCCTCCCGTCCTCCACCTCCCAGGGTCTCGCTTGGTATCACCCACTGCAGCTCTTCCTAAAGACCCTGGAGACCACGGGAAGGACAGGGCAACAACTGGGAGCAGCAGCAAAGGCCAGTGATACCAGTACAGCCTTGGGGGAAGCCGTGGCTCAACATACCTATAAGGGAAGGGAGAGCAGAGGCAGTTGTGGGGAGCAGGCTCAGACAAAACAGGCACTCACCTTCTCCGCAGCCATCACCACCCACGTCCCCAGCACTGTGCCCACGCTCTTCCCACTTTTCCATCCCCTTCCCACCCTTCCACCCGCTCCCTTCATTGCTCTCAGCCAGTTCTTTGTTCCCCAGCTCCATGTGCTCTTTGTTTCAGGGCTGTGCACATGTACCACGATCATACAGACTGTCTACAGACCAGGGATTTGTACTACTTGCTCACAGCTTGCACTCTGTAGTGACTTCTTGCTCCCAGGTCAAGGTCAGAGATCAAGTATCCATCAGAAACTTAAGCCCAGCTCCAAACCAGATAATCAAGAGTCAGTGGACTCATTATTACTAACCACAAATCCACAGTGAAAGGTTTTTCTGCAATCTCTCTTTCACAGATGGTTTCATCAGGAAGAGAGAAGGGCAGATACTGTATTTTTAGGACTGCAGCACATTTTTAATGGAAAGAGATGGCCCAGGGCTTTTCATCCCCCCCCCCCCCC